GCATACCACATTTATTATTTTCCTGCAATATGGGCTTCTGTTGTAGTGACCACCTTATATCGCTTTTGAACCTGGCTGCTCTTATGTCGAGAGAAAACATGGTAAAGCTTTTAGTTTTCCTTACAGTAAAGCTTGAAGTTGATTCTTATTGGGGTTTTTTTGTTGATGTTGTTTGCATTAAAGGAGTAATTTTAATCATATGAATAGCTGTGGGCAAATTAAAGGAAGCTGATGAGTTGATCTTCTCTAAAGTTCTTGTGGCCAGCAAATCCTTTTACAGTGTCTGTACACTAGACATAGTATACTAATTTATTTAAAAGAAAATAATTGAAAAGAAATACATGAAATGCCTGTTGCAATTGTATGTTCAACTTTAAATCACAGTGTATTGCAAATGTGAGACTAGGGTCTATTTGCGCTTAAGTGCAAGAACTTGGTTAATTTTGTGGCTCAAGACATTTAAATCATATGTAAATCGTACCATTGTTTCCACATTTAAAACTGCAGGAATCTCATTTCAAATTCCAAACCCGAAGAAGAATAGTTAGGCTTGATTCAGCTAACTTGAAAACTTTTCCATCTTCTGATAGAAGCTGGTTTATATCATATGTCTTAAATTAACAACAGAAAAGCCACTTTAAAAAGTAGGATGTGTTTTGGCTTTTCTGCTAATATTCATAAAACAGCAAGGAAGACAGTCTATAGCAATTTGATGATGTCTCTGTACCAAGTGCTTTAAATTGGGAAAAATGAATGAACTGTAAAAGTGACCCAAATTTGCTTGATTGTTTTCATATGTGGCCATCTTTATATTAATTATAGTACAAAAAGAACTAAATAGTAAGACATGATTTTTTTTCAACTTGACACTCCATTTTTCATTATTTTATTTTCCTTAATCCAAGAAGAAATGGTTTTGTGCTCACAAATGTAATTTCCAGTTTGTGGTTGGTTTTTTGGGTTTTTTTTATTCAATGTAGCTCTTTTCCTTTTTTTGATTACTGGTAGATTAGTAGATCACTCTTTAGAAAGTTACTCAGTATAAACACCAGAAAAAATAAAACTGGTGCTTTTGGAAAAGCACTGGTTGACCTGACAGTCTTTTCAAAGCTTAGTGACAAGGTTAAAGGGGGAAGGCAGGGAAGTCAAATAAAAAAAAAATACCCAAGAAACTATTTCTATTGCAAATAATTCTTCCCAATGATTTTGCCCAGGTTCACCTTTTCTAGCCAATGAAGATGGTGTACTCGGAGGTGTGATAGTTCTTCGGTCTTGCAGGTGTTCAGCAGAGCCTGAATCATCACAGGAAAAGCCAACTTTACTAGGTAAGAAATTCTTGTTTTGACTTGAGCTAGGTGCTAACTCAAAGTGAAAGATGAAATAAAAAGTGTCTGTGCACGTTTACCGTTGTTCAAAAGCCACAGAGAAAACAAAAAGGGAACGGAAATTGTTTGAGATGCGAAAGCTGTAGGAGGTGAAATAGTAGCGTTAGCTACTATTTTGTTTGTTCTCTAAAACTGTGGAGAAGAGCATTCTTTCTGACTCGTTATTTCTAAGTCGAACTGTGATTCAGAGGGTTGTGGGGGATCCTTCTAAAACCATGGCACAGAAATAATGGTGGCTTGTGGCAAGGCAGGGTATGTTCCTCACAGAAAAAAACAAAAATCACATATTTAGCCAGGGATAATGCATATGACTGTTTACTACTTCTCAGTGGTTTATATGCTAAAATTGCTATCTATAAAGTTCTTTGTTCCCCCTTTTTGCAGGACAAAATGTGAAAATTTGGAGGATATACTTAAAATTTAGGAGGGAGGTTGTTTTACGGTTAGAATTTTTTTGTTATACTCAGGAAAATCTGTTCACTTAAGTGACAGTTACTATGTGCGTATGGAGACAACAGGAGTACTTGCTGTTTATACTGAGATCAGCAGAAAACTGTCGTTTTCGTCCATCAGTAGCTGACTGGTTAAAAAGGCTCTGGGCTTTACAGCCCTGATTACGTCCTAGGAACAAGATCCTCATCTGTCTCGCTGCTTTACAGCAGAACAAGCGTATTATAGTAAGCCGTCATGCAGTTTGTCGTAGAGAAACGGCTAGGAAACTGAAGCTGTTGGCTACTGCCTGAGGTGGTTGGAAATAAAACCCCAAGTTGGTAAAGCCTAGGCTCCTCTTTGAAGGCAGGGATTTGGGACTGGGGGCATATGAATGACTTCAGCATGACACTTACACCATCTCCTTTCCTGTGGTGCTCCTCGGATGTGGGCATATGTGTCTGGCCATGCTGTGTGCTTATGTATTAGGCCACATGGACCTGTCTAACATATATTTGTTATGCTACCAGAATTAAAGTTGTTTTCCTTTGCTTCCCCAAGTGTTTCATGAATCGCTGTCAGTAGCATTACAGATTTGAAGTAGCTTTCGTATTTTTTAAGATCTGATATGACTAATTTGATCACTTAATCTAACTTCATGTATTAAGGCAGGTCATAGCTTCTCACCTAGTAATTCTTGCATTGCATTATTTCTTTTTAATCTATGGGCTATTGTTTAGAAAGACACCTCACCTTTGTTTCAATTCATTACTGTTTTTGTCCCACTAAATCCTTTGGTGACATTATGTCGCCAGAGTTTGCCTGCTTACAGCCAGCCTGGAGTAGCAGGCAGAGCGTGTGCTAGAGGTGAGCTGACAGATACATTCTTAACGATGGGATAACCCACACAAGCTCCAGAATTTATTGCTGTCTGTTCAGTGACTTCGAGGATGCTAGGGTCAAGTTATTACAGGTGCACAGGATGAGGTGTATGTTATCTTTGAGTTTTGTTTTCGTATTACGCCTTGCTGGCTTGTATTACAAGAATCTTTAAATATTGTGGACTACTTTGGCTGTGTTGGTCGACTTGAGTCTGATTGTATCCCCCACCCAGTCAAGATACTCCAATAAGTAATTTTGCTCAATGCAGGTGATAACATTAATTTTTCTCTACCCAACAGTTGAAGTTTATGTGTGTTTTATGCTTTTGGTCAACATCTCATCTTGTCCATAAGAGTTTCATGTACGTTTATTTTGCTGTTACAAAGAACCACAGATTTGGGAGGTGATGCCTTACAATTCCAGCGATGGTTCTGGGATCATCCTGATGGACGATGAAATAATTTTGGAAGGTTTGGATGGGAGAAGGTTTTAGAAATCGTTTTTGTATGTTATATTTTTTTTTTTAGTTATTGCTTGAATAGCTTGTCTTTTTTAAGAAGTAGACTATCAAATAGACTTGGACAATCATCATACTCTTGTCTTTCAACTATTTGAAAGCCAAGACTGTCTAATCCTGACTCTAGAATCAGGGCATGGGTTGCTAAACATACAGAGAATGTTGCAAGTTTGATTTACAGTTTTCAGGTTTAAGAATGGAATAATTGTGACCTCATTGATCTACTGAAAAAGCATCCTACAACATAAATTCTGTCCCTAAAAAAGAGTTAAGAAAATGAAAACACATGTTTGATTAAATAGTAATAAGGAAGATCAACTTAACCTTCAATTTCTTATGTTTGGAAGTGAGAGAAATATTTATATTCATTTAATGTTTGTCATTCTTGTAAGAAAATATGTTCCTATTAAGGCAGATTTGGTATTTTTTCCTCAAAAATTAATAAAGAAAATCCCCATATATCATATGTCATAAGTAAAGACTATTTGTCCATTGATTTTTGGTTTTCTTTCCACTGAAATAAGATTAATGTAGCACAGCTTATTCTAAAGATACTTTTTCTGTACCACAGAATTTTCCTGTGTGACAGTGTATGCTGAATTAATGTATAGTTAAACATATGTGGTATTTGGTTGTTTGGATTGAAGATGTGTAATACTGAGGAACTCAGTGTACAGAAAAACGAAATCTCATGTCTTTATTGCAGGGATTATAATATATTTTTTTTAAACTATTGAAACAAATTGCAAGAAGGTAATTTATTAAATGGGTGAAAATATGTGAAATGTCTTCAGATTAGTATGTAATTTAGGATTTTCATGGTAATTCCACTACTTGTAATAGCTGGCAATAACCACGTTTCATGCTAGTACGTGCTACGTTTGGTTGACTGTGTAGAAGGAGAAAATTATTAAAAACTTAAAAGAATATGCCTAGAGTTATCAAAGGCAAAGGAATAATATTTGGAGGGTATTCGGCCTGAACTGTTGCCCAACTTCTCAAAATTGAAAGATAAGATTAAATTTCTCTCCAGAAAATAAATGCTTTCACTGACAGTTGAACCTTTAGGGTATTAGGGAGGGGTTGGCCTCATCGAATGCAGTTTCATTGCACTGAATATGTTTCACTCTCTGAAAGCTTTTGACTAACCTGTGGCGATATCAGTCATGAATCTATTACGGGGGGAGCAAAGCGCATACCTAAATGAAGTTCATTTTTCTTTTATGATGAAATCTGCATATCTGTCAGAATCTTCAAGTCTTGCTGGGATTGTCTAAACTTTGATCTTCTGCTCAGGGTTAATTGCTATGCAGGGATAAATGGTTCAAAGGATCTTCGTCAACCATATTAAAGGCACATGAGGACCAGGAATGAATAAGAGTTTTAAAACCATCTAATGATGCTTTTTGCAGTATGTGAAAGTCTCTCTCTAAAGAAATACCTGGAAATAGATTTTCACGGCGTCTTGTGTAATTCATGTAAGACTCCTCCTGTAATCCAAAGGAAAAATTGATACTTCAGTGCAATTTTTTAAACATTTTACAGTATTCTATCAAGCACCCTGAATTCTGATCAACTACACTTTATTTCTTTTTCCCCTATCCAAATTATCTACTTGATGAACACAAAGAAAAATGGCTGTGGCATAGAGCAGGAAGAATACAGCGTGGCAGTTTATAAAGCTCCACTGGATGGAGGCTAACAGTATGAATAATGTGCTCGTTGTCTGAATTTTGTGTTACAGCGGAGTGGAGAGGTGTTTGTAGGTATAAAGATGCCTGTGTATGTATCAGGGAGTTAAAGATCACTGTAATTTGTTTAAACAATTGATAAATCAGGCCATTTTGAAACATTAGACCACCACCGTACCTGATTAAAATGCATTAACAACACACGTTAGCAGCGGTTAGTTTTCTCAGTCATTCTTACTACAAACAGTTGGTCTTTAACGTTTATATCCTAAAGTAGCTGCGAGTATACAGTACCAGAGAGCTGATGCTGTATAGTTAGTGCTAGAAGTCAAGGTGATCAGACCTAAGAGTGCTTTGATGGCGAAGTCAAAATCCAAATGGGCTCATTTCTTCTCCATCTTTCTTTCCTCTCTTACTTTTGGTGCTCCTTACCCTCTCCCCAAAGGAAGGAGGTGATTGCATATGCTCTTGATATGATTGAGCATAGTTTTGGGACCAGGTCTTGCTCTAATTTTGCCAGGCATCTTTCCTGCGTAGTGTGCAGTGTTATTCTGCTTCCATCGGACATCTCTCCTGCTGCTTCTGCAGGATTATTTTGCTTTCACCAAATGTCCTTCCTGCTTGCTCTATATCTTCACTTGTCATCTTGCAAACTTTACAACTACTGCATGTTTTCCTGTACCCTACTTGTGCAGCTAAACCATAAATCTCCGTGTACCCATTGGTAGTTACATATAATGCATATATTTATGCTCTGTTCTGTGAAGAAATGCTTGTTGCTGCTTATTCTGTTGATAGTGTTAAAATTCTGCAGAATCCTTGTATGCCATCTAGGTTTATGCTGTTGTAGCGTACTTAGGTCTGGGTTCAGGGCAAGCGAATGCAAATTATATCTGCTTCTACTTCATGGGTGGAACAGGCCTCTGCTCGAAGAGTTGGTCCTATCTTTTAACTGTAGTTGCAGTTGGTGCATTTTTCATCTTGGAGGCTACATACAATTGAAGTAAGATTCTCATTCCGGGTATTAGTTCTGCAGTGTGTGACTGAAAATAGTGCAGGAAAATCTTGTTTGTTTGATAGCTGTTTCTTTTGAGATGCAATTACTCTGGTAAGTAGTTTTTGTTCTTTAAGTTTGTTTTTGGTCCTTTCCCAAACTGTATTTTAAACTATACTTGTTTCTCAAGTTTCCAGTCTTGTTAAATTACATCTTATATTTTAAACCAACGCATTTTTTGGTGACTTCTTGCATTTTCATTTATAGTGGAATTTCTGTGGAGCCATACAACAGAGAGCATGTGTGTAGGATATATGTCTGCACAGGATGGCAAAGCCAAGGTAAGCTATGTGGAATAGGTTGTAATACAGTGGAATGAGTGCAGAAGCTAAGGAGAATATGAAATAATGAAATATGTAAGAAATTTCTATCTTTAAGAGAATTGAACAAGTAATAGATGCATAAGCACTTAAATGTATCTGTTGATTGGGCATTTCTAATTCCTTTTTTCTTTTAATTGCAGCAGTTAACAAAGCTATGCTAATGTATGTATTATGTCAGGAAGAAGTGCCACAAACACATTTCCATTCCCCTCTGCTGACAGTAATTGTATTTGAATAACTTTATCCAGCTTGATTCAGTTATACTGGATATTTAGGGCAGTACGATATTTTTCTACAAATGTGTCTTCCTTCAGATAAAGCATTTGCACCAAGGAAGAAAGGACAGGTTATAAAACAACTTTCAAGGTAGTTCCAAGAACAGCCTCTGTGGTAAACAATTTACATACTAATATCCAGGATTCTTTTAGTTTCTTGGGGTTTAATTATTTTTATTTTTTTTCCTGCAATGAGAAAAATAACACGTTAAAACTGAGTTTAGCAGTGGAAACTGGAAAAATCCTTAACATGAAATAGTAGGGATTTTAACCAAGAGGATGAGAGCCGCCTACTTGTAGGAATACAGCATTGAAAGGAGAAAAAGGCAGGTTTTGAGATGTAGCAACTAGAGCATTTAGGAGAGGTGTATGAAGGATGAGAGTGAACATAGGAGAAGCTGCACACAGACGCAAAACCATAATTTCTATAGACATTTATAAATGTACAGCCATCGGTGTTCAAGACTAAGAGTGACCATTCAGAACTAGTTAAAGGAAGTGACAAAAGTGGGGGGAAGAGCAAGAATAAGGCAGTGGCTCCCCGATACGGTTAAACTAACAGGGGAGGTGGGGATGTTTACTGGAATATTTGCATGTATTAGAGGAGGAGATGACAGCCAGGAAGTTTGTACCAGCAGATAATAGCAAGAAAGACATCCAGCATTTTGATGGTAGAATTTAAAGGAAGGTGAATTTTTAGAGTCTGGAAAAGGAAAGAATTTGAGGGCCTGGATTTGTTTGCTCTCTCCAGAAATGGCTGTTTGTGGATCTGCTGAGGAAGAAAGTTTAGTCATCAGCAATGGAGAGGGAGAGGAGTACATCCCAAATCTTTCTCTTCTCTTCTCTTCTCTTCTCTTCTCTTCTCTTCTCTTCTCTTCTCTTCTCTTCTCTTCTCTTCTCTTCTCTTCTCTTCTCTTCTCTTCTCTTCTCTTCTTTTTTTTCTTCCCCCTGTATTTCATTTGAGAGACACATACAAAGGAGGACGTGAGCGAGTTAATAAAAGAATGTATAAAAGAAGGAATTGACATCAGATACTTGAACCAGCAAGAATGGTGGAACATGCTGGTTGAAGCATTGGGAAAAAATGAGTTTATCCTCAAGGAGGAAAATGTGTAGAAAAAAAGACAAGAATGCCCCAGAAGGAGGAGGAAGATAAAAAGCAGCTGGTGAAGGAAGTCCTTGTAGAGGTGTCATTGAAGTATTTGCTTTCATGGCTTATGTAAAGTTCTTTCCAGTTGATTATCCATGGAATAGCGTGTGGTTGTACTTGTTTTCTTAATATTTATTTTAGATTTATTAGAAAAGAAGCCAAACTCAAGCAAAAAGCTCAGACTGAACTGAGTGAAGCTCAAGCAAGCTCAGCTGCAGATGTTCTAGTATTCGCTAGTTAGTTTAAAAGTCATTATGTTGTGTTCGCAGTGAAATAATAAAATTATTAGAGTGCCCAATGTTAAATTATTACAGTGTCACACCTGCCTCTGGCTTACACTGCAAGCTCAAAATATTATTGTTTCTTCCTGGTACTGTCTGTCTAATTAATAAATAAATGCTAAATATAAAATTTGTCTGGTAATGAGTACTAGCATGACAGAGCAATGCACAGCGATGTTTTCCTACTCACAGTTGCAACATTTAACATCTGGTGTGCATTGTTTTCATATTGCTGGTAAATTCTCCAGCTGGTAATCTTGATTGCGCTGACAGACACAGCTGCTCTTCTTGGTTCACTTTTAAATTATGTTTTTGACCTTCATTGAAGAGTTAATCCCCCTCCCTTTCTTCCTCCTTTGAGTCTGTGGCCACAAATGCTTTCCAGAGAAAAACCACAAATGCTTTTGCTGCTGACTTCTATTGATCAAAAAAAGCCTTCTGTCATAAAAGCTGGAATTTTATTCTGCTACAACTAGGGCTAAGTTATAGATGGAAAACTGGGCTTGAAATAGAACACAATGTATTGCAAGTTAAAAAAAAAAAAAGCCAAAATCCCTTTTCTTTAATAGAGTAACTGTTTTGTTACAATTAATTTTGAGTGCTTGCCATGAAAGAATAATGGTGTAAGAATTCATAAAAGTATAAAATATCACTTGTTTATGAGTACCATAGGAGAATGATCAGGCAGCATCTTGTAGGGAAACATCTTGCTTTCCCATTTTTCTAGGGTGGTAAAGAGCTTCAGTTTTTATTTCTTTCATCAATATAGGACTCAGGTTTTATTTGGGCTGGTTCAGTTTAATGAACATGAAAACGTATTTTTGTAGCAAGACTTTTAGAAAGTGACGAGGTTTTAAGTGTCCACTGTTATGAATTAGACTGGTATTAGAAGCATAATTATTTAAAGGGGTCCATCCTAAGGGAAAAATGGATCCCGCTTTATAATCTTAGCGTGATTCTTTGTACATTGGAGGTTAATGCATTTCATAATAGGACCTAGCAAATGGTGGTTCTGAACCCTGGACAAAGAATGTGGAGATACAGGAGGCCTTTCTTACAAGGCAAACACTTAGACACTTACAAGCGAGATACCAACTCACCTGCAGATACTGGTATGCTCGAGAGGTGGAAACATACTCAACCAATTAACATTCAGCAGCTCCTTAAAAGAACCGTGGGGCAGGAAGCGGGATCGGAGACTTGTACGTCCTGCCCTGCCGGTGCTTCTGGCTGTTAGCGCTGTGAGCTCTCCAAGTACTGATTTAGACGTCTCCTTGCAACTGGAGTTTATTTCCTCCTGATTTAGAAAAGAGGGGGTTCTGCACCTCCAACCTAGACTCCCCGAATGCTGACTTGCCAGCCTAAGTGTATAAAATGGCTGAGCCTGCAAGAGCTGTGGAACAATTTTGCGCTGTGACTAATAATTGTTTGATTTAAAGCATACTTTCTGGAAAGGTGTCCAGTCTTTTTTTGGAAAATGAGTTGCCTGGAAAAGTCACCGTTTCCTGTTGAACGTTGGTTTAAAATGTTTGGTTGAACGTTACTTTAAAAATACTGTGGAGGCTTGCCAGATGAACTAAGTTCACACCTTATTGCTGACACAGTCATCTCTGGTTGCATGCCCTATTACTTGCCTTTAGCTTTCTCTCAGTGCTGGAAGTATTTCAGTTCCTCCACCACTGATAGCACTGGCAATGTCATCTCCGCTACTTGCAGAGGGGAAATCTCATTGACTTCCCGCTGATTCCTGTGCCTTTCAACCCTTACATTGCTGCCACAAGCAGCTGATCAAAGCGTATCCTTGCTGATGCAACTGTATGCTTTGTTTCCTGTCATCCCTCTTGACACGAGCAGTTTCATAATGACTCAGTGCCAGCGTTTGTCACATACTGGATGAACTTTTTGTCTGAAAAACTTTGACTTTTTTGTATGCTTCTTGGAATTAACCTATAGTACCTAATGCTACAACTTATCCAGGCTGGTGCCTGGGCCCCTCAGCTGTAATGAGCTTAAGAGACAGCTATCTTCTGTTCTAGAAATTGCCAGCCCCAGACTTGCTTTCTGAAGCAATACCATGGCAGATTCTTTCAACATTAGGCCTGTTCTTTGGGAAGATGAATGGACTTCCTGAGACCTCCTGAAGCACGTTCCTGCATTGCCATCTATGTGATGGTAGAATTGTCACGTAAGCTGACACTCAATTTATTTCGAGCTGTTAGTGAAGCTGTTAAAATATTCTAGGCTGCTGTGGAAGTTTCTGGCCACAGCCATGAGAATAGATAGAAAATATTACTCTGTGGACTTCTTTTGCACTTACACAGCTCCTTTTGTAGCAGTAACTGCTGCATTAGCAAAGGTTAAGACTCTGGATTGAAGGTCTGGGAGGTTAAATATCTTCATGAACTGAGGAGCTATGTTTGTTCCTTTTTGTTATTGTGATGTTGACACATGAATTACTTGATATGAATTCAAGATCTTTGATAAGCAGTAAGCTCTTTCAGATTTCCTGCCCAAGCTTTCTTCTCTTTATGAGACACTAGTCTTCAGCCTAACCTTCCAGATGTTTTTTAATGGATCCATAATAGATCCAACAGCTGATCATAGCATCAGCTAAGAAGGTCATCCTGTTACTGGAGCTCTGACCTCTTGAAAGATACTCTGGCAGCTTTCAGCTCATCAGTTCCAGTTTTCCTGAACTGATTAGGTTACATTCTGAGAGCTTAAGCAATTGTGTTGTCACCATTGGGGAAAATAGCTGTATTCTGATGACTACAGTGTTGCTTGTTGGAGTTCTGTCCCTGCTGTTGCAGGCAATGCGGAAATATTTGAGGTCTTAACGGTTGGTGTAGCATTTGGTAAAGCAGTTTTAGCATCAGTTTGCATGAAGGGCTTTGAGACCTTGTGCCGTGTAATTTGGGAGGGGGAGAAATAGCTCCTTGAACTAACTCATAATGTGATTTTTAGATGTAAATGGAGAACGTGAAAGGAGGATAGTGGGTAGATTACAAGTTAATTGACTCCTCTTAGTTACGTAGTCTTCGTATCTTCTTGTTCCTTGTCTGCTTACCCAATGGAGAATGCTGCAAAGGAAAAGAAGTTCTTCAGTCTCAAATGGCAGCACATCGTATGCCTGCAATGTGAATTCATGTACGAACTGCATCTCTTGAAGGTTCTGGTTATGGGTAGGCAGCCTTTGATTCCATGTTGCGTATCTGCGCATAATCAAGGAGGAGCCGTTTTATCTCAGGCAAA